TATCTCCTTGACTCTGCTTCTTCTGATCTATTTCTTTCCTGTTTTGCTCATTCAAGGAATCCGTCATTTTTCTAATCTCCTGTATTTTTCAATGTCTTCTTTATAAGCCTTTATTCATACTTTTCTTGAAGAGTTTTTTCAGATGGGCTTCCTCCCTATATTTTTGTGTTTGATTCTTATTTCAGATGCTATGAGTTCAAAGAATTCATTTTTTATTTCAGAAATTAGTTCCACTCAGTGTTCCTCTATATCTTTATTCTGTTGCTTATTTACTTCCAACACTATTAATTTATGTATTTCAGCTGAGCTCGTGTCTTCCACATTTGTTCTGGGTGTGCATTGGGTTTTCTCCCTGTGTTTCTGCCTTTGATTCTTACTGCAGATGCTATTAGTTCAGTGATTTCTTGTTTTATTTCAGTACTGAGTTCCTCTATACCTCTCTGCAGTTATTTCTTTATTTCAGAAGCTCTTGATTTATTGATTTGAAATGTGTGATTCCCAATTTACTGTGCATTAGTGTCCTTTGCACTTGTTATGGGTGTACTTGAGGCCTGAGACTGCACTTTCCTCCTTCTCATTGTCATTTTGTATAGCACTGTCTTCTGACCTTTTTTTAGATCTTTGGTACAGTTATAACCTTAGCACCTACTGAAATTCAGGTGCAGATGTACAAAGTTTGGATTTATCCTGCTGTGCCTAGCTTGGATCTGGCTGCTGTGCTCAGCTCCTTCCTGCTGCAGCCCTTCGGGAGTGAACCTGTTTTGCCCCTCTGGCAAGATGCTCTGCTCCTGCACTAGCTGTGTGGTTCTGTCTCCTACTCACTCTGCAGGTAGTGCATCTAGAGATTTTCACCCCAGGCCTGTATGTCAGGCCTGAGCTGAGTCTGAAGTAGATAAGGGGTCATAGGGGAGAGAGGAAACTCTCCCACATGCTCACCTGGCCTGGTCTAGGGCTTGATCTGAGGGCCCCAAGAATGCAGCAAAAGTTCTCAATCACTGGGGGTGGGGCTGTGGATTTTTCGGGGGTTTCCCAATGACATGGAAGAGGGTTTCACCCACACTGTGCCTGGGCTTTCACCGGAAAGCTCCCATGGTTGTAGGGTAGCTGGAAGCTCTACCACACTCTCACCAGGCCTGAGCTAGGGCTGCATCTGGGGGTCCTGAAAACATGGTAGAAGTTCTCACTCATCAGGCGGAAGTGGGTGTGCTTTCAGAATGGTTGGTGGTCCCAAGGGCACGGAAGAGGGTCTCACTCAGGCTGTGCCTGGGTGTGGACCGGACAGGTCCCCGCAAAGTTTCATGGAATTGGCAAGAAATAAGAGCAAAAGGAGTGGCAGCAGCTCTGACAGGTAGCTAGCATTTCTGCCCTTCTTATATTGCAATGCAAATTACCTGCCATAGGATACATAGAACATATATACCCACAATAATCAATCACAAACTCTATAAGCTGCCCCACAGTTTCATGAGGCTTTGGGGTTAAAAGTAGATGCAAAGCATAAGAAGGATGAAATGGTACTTTGTAAAGAAATCTCCAAGTATCTCCCAAAAGACTTCTAGAATTAATAATCAAATTCAGCAGCAGAACGGGACACAAATTCAACTCTAAAATGTTAATAACTTTACTATGTACAAAGAAAAAACTCACAGAGAGAAAGTAGAGAAAGCACATCTTTAAAAATATAATAAAAACTAAATACTTAGCAATGCATTTAAGAAGGGAAGTAAAATACTTTTACATTGAGAAATACTATACTCAGAAATAGGTGATTGAATGGATATCAGAAAATTGGAAGTAATCCTTTGTTCTTTGATAGCCATATTAAATGCAGTGAATGAGACTCTCTTAGCTACTTGTTTCTCATTACTGACAGAAAAGCGTACAATACCCAAAGCCAAGTAATGACATGTTTATTTAGCTCATTGTTTGTAGATGTTTCAGGCCATAATTGGCAGATTCCAACACAGAATTGTACATGCCAAAAGAGCAATGGTTCATAGTAGTACAAAACAGCAAAACCAAGAAAGAAAAGGCTCTTTCTGTCCTTTATGTGTATCCAGCCTACCTGCCCATGCTCAGGTGTAGCACTCACATCCCTTAACCCTAACACTGGACCATAAATAAATCACAAATTTTAGATATAGCCCCATTTGAAAAGCCATAACTTCATTAGGATTTTTTAGGGGGTATTTAGACACAAATCATAAAAATTACCATATTTCCAAAATTGTTATACAGATGTAATGCAATCCTGATTAAAATACCAATATCATAGTTCACAAAATGAGAGAGAGAGACAGCAATCACACAAGTCTTTTGGAAGCAGAGAAAGATTTTGAATATCAAAATCAATAAATCAATTCTGGAGCACAAGTGCATGCATTTCAGAGGACTGGAAATTATACTACAAAACTACCATGATAAAAAAGAACATGATAATGACAAAAAAGATGGACAGAAAGATCAGTGGAACTGTGCTATGGTTTGTCTAGATGTCCCTCCAAAGCCTCATGCAATCGTGGGACAAGCTTCTAGAGTATCAAATTGATTCAGGTTTTTATTTTGGATGTGAGTGTACATCCAATTTGGGTTGGGTTACTGGCATGAAATATAAGAGAGGGAAAGACGCTTGATCTCTGCTGCTCTTTCCTTTTGCTCTAATTGATTTTGCTGTTTTACACTGTCATGAATTGCTGCCCAGAAAAACGAAGCATTAAATGCCAGGGACAAATAAACTATGTTTGCAGATGCAATAGGTGCCTACAAAACAGGAAGCATATGCCTAAGAGAACATGTCCCCTTAAATCTGGTATAATATTGCATTCAAATAAATCAAGAAGATGCTTATGGGAGAGATCAGTGTCTTGGTTTGATGTAACATATCACAAGCCATTTGATCCAAATTTTGAAGTTGAGGGGATTGCAATTGTAAGTGAGGGGACTGGATTGTAGGGTCACCAAATGCCTTTATTGATATGGGTGGATTGTCAGGTGTTTAATTTTTACCATTACTTGCTTTACATCTTTTTTCAGTCCATGGCCACAATAGTGGGAATACTCTGGCTACCATTATTGATAGCCATGAGCAGATCCCCTCCTCCAGAACTTTACTGGGTATAGGAATTCCCACTGATTAGACATATTCTATTTAACAGGTGCCACATGATCTAATGTAACACAAATGTGAAGAGAAGAGCACATCATTGATAAGCTTAAGCAAGTATAGAGGAAAGATTTAAAAGATTGAAAATGAAAAAAGCATGATGCAAATTGTTGTGTGATGATTCTTATAGGCAATTCCTCCTTTTGTACTTTATATGCATTGGACTTAAATAAGAATTGAGACATGCTGTGTCCATGTATCAACTCATCACAAGGACTGTAATCATTATGACCTTGAAACATGTGTTTGTAACCAAAGAGCATTTTAAAATATTTTATTATATCTTTTTAAAAAGAATTGCTTTGAGATTGTTTAAAAGCTATTTTATTATGCAAAGGTTATTTAATTATTATCTTATTGAATAAAATTAGATACAAAGTTAAAAATAAAATGTACCTAATACATAATCTAACTGTGTTATGATACTTAGGTAGTCCACAAGAAGCAATGCCCAATATGATGATAAAATATATTAAAAAAAGTATATTTTAAACTTTTATAACTGCATTATAAAAGTCCTAAAGAAAGTTTGAGAAAAGTATACTTTATATTTAATCTGATAGCATTGGAAAATCGGCTGATACTATAGAGTAGATAGGTTTGGGAAAGTTGCGAACAGCTGGGGAAATGTGCTTCCACTCTGTGGTTGCAAAGCTTTACTCTCTTTACACATTGTGCTATACTCCATCTGCATATTCTTTGGTGACCTGTCATTAAGCAAAGAACTTCATGAACACATTGTCAGTGTTGATGTCCACAGCTAAACAGGAGAAAAACATGATTCTACATGCACAAAAATTTTAATAACCAAGAAGTAAAGTTGTTTGATACAACTTCACTAAAACATATATTCAATGGCTGAAAGACAAAGAAAACATAATGAAAGAGGTCTGAGAAAAGTGATTCATGTTTTACTAGTGAAATTCAATATATTTTTCAAAATATTTCTAAGCAGACATTTTGGAGGAAAGATGAAAGTGGAATAATATAATTGAGATGGAAAAAATAAACATCAATTGAAAGAAAAAAAAAATATATATATATATGAGAAACTTATATTTTCAACTGTGGGAGAAAGTAAGATATTTACAAAATGAAACCTGAGTTACTACAGTATATGGACATTGATCCTGCCCTATCAGAAATGTTCAGTGTATTTCAATTTTAAGTAAAAGGATACTAGGAAGGAACTCAATGTCGTATGAAAATAAAGACTTCTCTGATAAAGGCAAAGTCAGGAGTAATTATTTTAGTAAAAATCAGCATAATTTGGATTGGAACACTATATTTTTATTATATATATGTTAAAAGACAATGTATAATATAGTTACATATTTATGGTATTAGTTATCAAATATATAAAGTTGTAATTTGTGGCACCAGTTACATAGACAGGATAGGTACTTCCATATAAGGAAAGTTGTATACAACTTAAGTGAAAATTGAAATCACTTTCTTATACCTTTAAATGTTTTATGTAATCTTCATGGTAATCGCAAAGAAAATATCTATATAATTAATACACATGAAAGAAAATTATGACTTAAACATAAAGAAAGCTAGTAATGGGAGATTTCAAAACAAATGACTATAAGGATTTAAAAAAGAAAAAAGGGAAATTATCAAATGTAAGGTTTTCTTTACTAGTTACATTAATTGTGTTTTAATTTTTATAAGAGAAGTATATTGATTTGATGAAAATCATGATTCAAATTATGAGACAATTCAAATCTGAATTCACAAGTTTGGAAAAGTGCAATGATCGAAAATTTATACCATGCAAATGAAAACATACCTAGTATTTTATTTCAAATTGTTTTTCTTGTAATTTATACAGGAGGTGAGGGCTGCACTCTTGCAGCTGCCTGTTCAGTGATTGGTGTGGGCTCTGATATTGGTGGTAGTATTCGGATGCCCTCTTTCTTCAATGGAATTTTTGGACATAAGCCTTCACCAGGTAATATTAATTTGGCTAGAAAATTGGTGCCACATTTATGAGTGAAATTAATGCAGAAAGTTATAAAATTTGATTATTACTTTCATTTTTATATTTTAAAATTGTTATGCATTTGTTGGTTGACATATAAAGGCTTAATATAAAAATATTCATAAATATTTATCTACTCCTAAAATCTCTACTGTCTCATGTTTTATTTTTATGAAAAAATAAAATAATTCCTTCAATTCTTGAGATATGACACACCATTCTTTTTTATTGTCACTTGAGTTGACAACAGCATAACAAAAGTTTTTACTCTTATCTATTTACACCATGCAACATATTTTCCCACATTTCCCCATATCTCTCTTCCCCACTACTGAGCCCAGCCTTTTGTGAACACCACTGAGTTTTCAACATGAATGAGTTTAATTCTTTCAGAAACCATATATGATTTAGAACATACTGTACTTTTATTTTCTGCTTGATTTATTCACTTGTAATATTTTTTCTTTCAATTTATGGTGTTGTAAATAATTTTGTTTTTATAGCTGAATTATATTCAATTGGTTCATACCATTTTTTTGTCCACTTGTCAGTTGATATGTGCTTTGCTTATTTCAATCTCTTGATCATTGTGGATTGTGCTGCAATAAACATGAGATTGTAGGTCTTTCTTCAATATGTACATTTCCATTGGATATGTACATAGGGATGTCATTTCTTGCTCATGTGGAAGTTATTTCTCTTTTTAAGTTTTTAAGGACTTTCCCTATTATTCTCAGTAAAGTTTATGCAAGTTTATATTCCCCTCAATAATGCTTAAATGGCAAAAGCCGTGACTCATCCACATGCCTGACACTGACAAAGGTTCTACAATCTGAGGTACAGGATCTCAGGATAAATCCTGAGGGGATTTCACTGAACTTATCAGACCCAACAGCTACAACTCTTGTTGCAGAGGTTCTGCTTTAACTTGGTCTTAACCATACAGAAGAAAATTATAAAAACGAAGTATAAGTAAAGCCATGGTGTTATGTGGAGCTATAAGGGACTGAGGTCAACAATTTCAGACATTGCCAGTCAAGCGGAAGTCCCAATATTATTATGGTCTACTGAACTCTTTTAGAATATTTTGCTGAGTTTACACACCTATAATATTTAAGTGATGAAACTTAAAAATAAAAGGGGATACAGATGAATGTCCATTTGGTATCTGTGTATTCAAAGTGGTTAGGATAGATATAGTTCCATTCTCTTAATTATTAGAGGGATTTGTTCTAATGGTGTTCATAAATAGGATATCAAGTCCGCATCTTGTACAGCAATTAACCACTAGGAAGAATGTATGCAATGTGTTAATTATTGAAACTGTCCTGCCAATTTGGTTTGAAACTGTCTCGTTGCTGTTTGTTTCTCAATATACATTTGGGAAAAAATATTTATTGCGTACTTTCTGCTTTGAGAATTCTAGTTATATGAATATAAGTTTCTTGGTTTTG